CGAATACTTTAGTGTGAGAAACTGAAAGTGTAAATAAGGACTAAAAGGTATAATAGATAATGTGAAATAGGAAGAAAAGGGGCAAAGGAGAAGGGGAAGTGGGAAGGGTAGGAGAAAGGAAAGAAGGGAAAGGAATTAATATGAGAAAATGGAAAAATGGAAACAAAGTCTTTGTAAATAGGGAGGGATGGAGGGGTTGAAGGGAGAGCAGGGGAATGGGGAAAAAATAAGAACCAAGAGAGATTACGTAAAGGTGCAAATTTTGAATGATGAATGTCATTGTACTGTATACCTAATAAAAACAAAAGGAGAAAATGACTCATGTGAATACAAATATTTAATAGCTCCAGAGATTTGGGTTATATTTGCTGCTTGGATCAAATTTTAAATGGTGAGATTTTCATGAGCCTCTTAAAACGCATAGTAAAAAAATGAAAGGCCAGCTCATAGAGAATAAAAGCAAATCAAGCTTGCTCATACATTTTCTGGTAACAACTACAAGAAATGCGCTTTACAGATTAAAATGTACTGAAATTTAAATGCGTAGTAATGACATAATGTAGTATTTTAAATTACATAAGAAAATGTAAGGACTTTTGTTGGGTCATTTTTCTTCTTGCTGCTGAGAGGAAACAAGTCAATGACCAATAAAGCTATAACCTCTTCTGTTCTAAGATAAAATGAAAAAATAAATTCATGCATATAATAAGCCATGTTGTTTAAATATGATAACCATCTAATGAATTGTAAGTATCATTGCTTTTAAAGGATAATCATATTTAATGCTGTATTACTTACCAAATTCTTTTTTAAAAAATGTTTACAAGAACATGTTTGCAGGACATAATGATTATATTCATCATGGGGAGTTTGTACATGTACCTAACCCATCTTTTTAATTTCACTTCCCTTCCCCTAAATTCTTACCTTTTTGTATACAGCCTTTGCGTCTGAATCCAAGACAATTATATTTCTTAGCTTTGCATTTATTTCAGTTACTGAAGGCCTCATAATCATCTCAGAATCGAGTCCTAAGGAAACAAAAGTATGAATAATTGCTTTTTCTTTTATTTAATAGCTTTAAATTTATTTTTATGAAACTTTATTACCTTCGATCTTAATTTCAGAAATGTTACGTTTCTGTTCTTGAATAAAAATCTGTAAACATGATAATTCTGCTAAAATCTGCAAGGTAATAATATCTTCATTCATGGATTGCTTGAGAGCTACAAAAAAATCATATTGTAAAAAAATCAGGGAAATTTGTAGTAGTTTATTTACAAAGTAACTGAAATATCACCACAATATTATTTAATTATGATGATGATAATGATAATGAAAATCTCATTTGCAATTTAAATGAAAGTGACATAGGATATTCCTTATTGAACTAGAACTTCTAGCTCTAATGAAAACAAAAATGAAAGGGCAAAACAAAACTGTGTTTCTGGAGAAGGCTGAACATTTGAAACTAAGAACTACAGCTATAAAATCCTAAATCTTTTATAACCCAATTATTAGTAGAAGATACTTTTCATAAAAATTACACATGTTTACGGCTTTTAGGCTGAGCATCCAAAGATCCAAACTCTGAAATTCTCCAAAATCCAGAACTTTTTTGGAAAAAATGACACTCAAAAATTTTCTAATTTTGAACCAGTTCAAATTTGAAGTATTCTGATGATATTCAACCTATGCTCTGATTAAAAATACATTCTGATATTACTCAAATTTTGGTGTACTTTTCTAATCTAAAATGTTAATAAATGCATGAATTTTAATCTACATCAAATACTTCTGATCATCTTCAACTATAATTTACATATTAAATTATATAAACTTTATATAACAATTTTTCTTTAGCAGTATTCAGTTTCCTTGACCATTATTTCCTAAAATTAACCTGAAATATATTAAGAGAAAAGATGTTAATGTAGAGTTTTTTCTAAACTAAAACCTCAGCATTCAGGTTTAATTTCAGTGTTGCCACTTTGCAATAAATAAGTAGGTTTGAGTTGCAGCTTGGCATTCAGTCTCTGAAAGGTTTGCCTTCTAGGCAAAAGAATTCTAGGATCATCAGTGTAAGTTAATAAATTTGGAGCCTAAGTTTACTGATGTACATGGCAAAAAAAATTTGCATTTGAACTTTTGAAAAATATACCTAATTTTTTAATGACTTCTCCTCCTTTGTCTTCAGTCTCCACAACAGACACTGAGGCTGATTTTTCCACAGAGGGTGGAAGGATTTTATTAAGATAATTTATGGTATTCAGAAGTGCTTCCGTATGTAAATGAATATCCAAAGAGGAAAAATTAACCTAAAGAATAAAGCAGATGTTACTTAACAGGTTAATGAAAATGTGTTTGGCTGGTCTCTATAGGATAACATATTTTGCAATAATGTTAAAATTTAGATCTATAACATCCCCCAAAATTCTCAGATATCCTGACATGGGGCTTTCAGAAGGTTTCTGGACTATGGGGGCACTATACTCATCAACAGATTAATCCACTAATGAGTTCATTGCTGAATGTGCTGTTAGGAGGTGGGGCCTAGTTGAAAGAGGCAGTTCACTGGGGGATTAACCTAGAAAGGTGTATTCTTGTCCCCAGTCCTCCCTTCTTTCTCTCCGCTTCAGAGGTGCCCACGGGTTGAGCAGCTCTTCTGCTATGGCATTTCTGCCTTGGAGCCAGACACCTGTGGACTTAACCAACTGAAACTGTGAGCGAAATAAAACTCTCGTTTAAACAGCAGATGTCAGGTATTTATTGCAGCAATGGAAAAGTGACTAACACAAGGATAAAGGATATGATTTGGACTAAGGACTTCAGGAGCAGAGTGACTGCCTAGCATATGAAGTTCAAGATTCGATCCTCAGTAATGCACAAAAACAAATTTAAGACAGAATATGATTTATAATATTGTTTTTATCCTCAAGGATCTTATATTCCAGCTACAATTTTCATGATATACTTAGACACAGAAATATAGTATCTAATTAAAACAAGAATTAACAACCATTCATACCTTGATCAGCTGTAAAACATTATTATAGGTACTTTTTAAGTTAGGTGCATTTTTTTCAGCCTATTCAAAAAGAAAACAAATCACTTAGAACATTATAGGAAGACACATGCCTATACCATTATATGGTAACCCTAAAATACATTATATAATTATTCCAAGTGTGTGTGATATGTCTAAATAAGGTAATTATATACATTAAGTATATATCATATATTTAGTTTTACATACATTTCACATTTATAAACACGAACAGACACAGAGTTACTTCAACAAGCAACTGCTTCACTAGAACACAGAAGCTGCTTTACCAAAACAAATTTGGTATAATATGATCTTCTCTAACACACAGCAAATATTTAGTAAATGTTACATACTATAATTGTTATTATGGAGAAGAAATGGTACAAAATATCAAGTGTAGAAAACAATCACTTGATTATCAAGAACTCTAAATGAGTCTTCCTAATTCTTCCTGATTTTGAAAACAAAATTTATGACAGAATGTGAATAAAGTATCCAAATACTGGTTTTCTCAAAAATTTATTACTTACATTATTTTTTATTGATAAAACATAACTGAATATCTTTATGGGATAGTATGTGTTATTTTGATGCAGGTATATAATATGGAATGATTCAATCAAGGTAACAGCACTGCACCTATCATTTTTTGTGGTGAGACATTTGAAATGTACTTGTATTTTGAAATATATATTATTAAATATAGTCACTTTGTTGTGGAACACATCTCAGAACTTATTCCTTCAATATATCTAATATGTTGCTTCCTTTTATCCTTCCCTTCCTACCACCCTCAGCTTCTGGTAGCCATCATTCTTCTATCTACTTCTATGAGTTCAATTTTACCGATTCTACAGAGATTTATGCAATAATTGTCCTTCTGTGCTTGGATTCTTTCATTTACACAATATCCTAAATATTCATCTATGTTGTTGCAAATGAAAAGATTTCATCTCTTTCTAGAGATAAATTTTCTTTATATATTAATTTGCTTAAGATATAGAATATTTTTGTAACTGAAAAGCTAATACAAACAAAAATTCTCAAGTATCTATCAATAATGGATAGCAAAAATGGTTCTACAAATGAAAAATACTCTTTTGGAAAAATTCATAAATAGACCATTGTACATGAAAAACTTCATAGATGAAAAAATTATATAAATCTATACAAATGGAATGAAGTCACTAAAACTAGAAAAATCACGTAACTTCACACAATGGTAGAAAACAGAGTCAAATTAACATCTTGCATAACAATAAATCCCATTGAGACTAAAAACTTTTTTTCCCTCAATACTCTGGTGTGCGTGTGTTACGTTGAGGGGGATGTTTAAACTGCAAGTGTTCTCTGTATGGAACACAGGCTACTTATTTTGCTATACTGAAATACTTGTAAATCGCATTTGACAGAGAATGACGAGACAAAATGTTACGAGTTACTGTGATTACATGAGAATGAACATTTTAAAAACTATTCCTAAAATTACAAAACTTGATTAAAAATTTCAGTAACACACTTACCTGTCAAGCTGATATGAATGAACTGCTTACCTTCACATATTCTAGTGTTAACAGATCTTCCATTGTGTTATCCAGTGTTGTGACCAAATATATTGGTTTTTTATTTTCATCTAAAAATAATTTTTAAAATATTGTTTGATAGGAAAATTAACTGAAAACAAATGCAAGCAGTATTAGTATCAGCCCTGGGCCTTGGATTCTACCTTAACCAGTCAGGTCTGCCTCTATTTTTTAAACTCTAAAAGTACTTTCTTGTCATAATTCCATTACCTTCCCTTATGCTTCCACACTGAAGTACCACTTCATCATAACGCTAACAGGTGTGAAGAAAGAAAAACTAGAAACCGTGAAAAGAAAATCTACAACAATTTTTAGGAATGAAACGGCACAAAAAGAATTGTGTCTCTAGGTCACAGAACTAGCTAGGAAAACTATTACTCCTTGAAAATTCAGCTGTTGAGAAGTCAAATCAGAAATGTAATGAAAGTTTTTCTATATGTTAGTTTAGATTAAAATAAATCATTATATAATCAGTCTTTATTAGTTACATTACTGCTTCTGTTCAAAAGCTGCTATTCTAGGGGAAGTGTGGTAGAAAAGCTACCATCACCAAATTACATGGCTACTAGACACTAATATCAAGACTGGGAGAACAGACTACAAACTGGTATTACTGAGGGGTTAAAGGCCAAATTCCACAAAGTCCTCCAAACTTAAAAGCTTTTTAGTATATAAACCAGTTTTCTATGCTAACCACATTTTTAGGCTTCAGGAAAATACACTTTGTTTACACATTTATTAATTCACTGAACAACTATTTACTAAGCATTTACTCTATATGAGAAATTGTGCTATTCATTCCTTTTAAAAAACAGGAGCAAAATTAACACAGAATTAGGTGAAATAATAATTGTATATTCTATATTTTTTATACAGGTGCTTTTTAATCCTTTGCTCTTGGGAAAAAAAAAATTTAGCACAAATGTAAAAATGAACAACTTCCAGGCTTCCCACTGTGAGACCTGCGGCCTCTGCTCCCACAGCTCCCTACGCCTGCCATGAGGGCATTCCCCTCAGATCTGGATCCGTGCAGCTGAGAGGCACCTGGGGCCAGGGAACTATTGCTATGAGATCTGGAAGATGGCTCAGTGGTGAGCAGCAAAGAGAGGACCTGTTGGAGGCTTGTTGTTGAAAACTGAAGCCCAGTTGGAGAGCGAAGACAGAGCAGACTACAGTACTCTGTGACCTGGAGAGACCAGCACCTCCTACCAAATCTGGACCTGCTACGGGGGAAGGGCAGCTCAAACCTGCAGTAGAACCTTGTAGAGATCCAACCCACAGGAGGTCAGGGAGTTCAACCAGCCTGAATTTCACTGGACTACAGCTGGCTTGCTGAGAACGATGGGCTCGGCTCTGGACGCTGCTGCCCATGTTGCATACTAGCAATAGCAGAGTCAGGACTCCAAGAGGAACTTTTTTTCCCCCTCTTCTTTCTCTTTCTTCTATCTTCTTCCTTTCTTGCTCCTGTTTTTGTCCTATTCTGTTATATTCTTGATTGTTCTTATTGTTAAAAGAGTGTGAATACACTTTCTAGTTTTCTTGCTGCTGTTTGTTCCGTTCCTATTTCTGTTCCTTCCTACATTCTTTTCCACCTGTCTTTACCAGTTTCCCAAAGTTTCTGTGATCCTCCTTTGTCTTCTAGCCCTGCTTCTAACCTCTCCTTCTATCTCTCTATCCCGCCACCCCAAATTCTTCTAAGTCTTCTTCCCGGATGGAAAAGCAGGTGTACTGAAGGTCTTTACTAACTGTAAACATATTTCTGGTTGGTCATTGATTGTGATATATAACCACAAGTCTACTTTATGCAGTCAAAGGTGTCAGAATAATAGCTAACACATTTTGTCATTTTCTAAGCTGTGGTTTTTTTTGGTACCAGGGATTGAACTCGGGTCCTTACACTTGCGCAGCAGGCGGCAAATCCACTGAGCTAAATCCCAGGCCCTCTAAGCTGTGTTTGATGCTATGGTTATTGCAGATTGTATCACTTTGGCAAGGTGACTTCACTGCTTTAGTCAATTGTCTTTACTGGTATACCAAGACTAAGATCGCTTAAAGGTCATTGCAGACTCTAAACCCAAAGGCCAACTGTACCAGGAAGACAATCCAAGAAGTACCCATACCCTAAAGGCACTAAATACTAGCAATAAAGATACTTGCAATAAACAATTTACAAGTAGCAAATTAAACCAAAAATTTCAACAATAACAAAAAATTAGAAACGAGAAGACATTTAAACAAGATGCAAACCTAGACTTCCAGATCACCAAAGGGAAATCCAGGGGGTGAGATGAAACAGTCCAAAACTCAACCACCTGGACTCCCTGAACTGGCAACAAAAGAGGATCCAGAAAAAATGAAATCAGAAATAATTTCTCAGATAAAAACAGAGACAGTCTTCATAGTGAAAGACATGATTAATAACTCTAGAGCAGACACAGATTAAAAAAAAAAATAGAGGAGCTCAGGAACATAACGGAATACCAGCACAAGAAGCAAATGGAATCCATAAAGCAGATTCAAACAGATTTCCAGGAGATTAAATATTCCATTGAAATTTAACACAGCAGAATGAGTGTCATGAGGACAGAACAGCATATATAAAAGACAGGATGCTGGTTAGTAACCAGGACTGGAAAGAATTCTTAAAAATGGCAAGGGACCATGAGAAACAAACCAGTAGCTGCTAGATGATGCACAGAAGAATAACATAACACTGATCAGAGTCAATGAAGAAACAGGAGGTAGTGCAAATGACTTAAAAAAAAACTGTTCACAGAAGTAAGGGTAGAAAAGTTCCCCAGCAAGGGAAAATAATTTAACATAGAGATAAGTGAAGCATATAGGACTCCAAGTAGCTGTGATTAAAAAAAAAAGTCAAGATTCTAGAAACACAAAAGAAGAACAAAATATTATAAGTGGAGAAAGGAAACAAATCACATACAAAGGAAAGCCCATTACAATCACAGCACACTTCTCAACACAAACCTTCAAATCAAAAAGAGCATGGAGTGAAGTACTTCAAGGCCTAAAAGAAAAGAATCTCTAATTCAAATTGATGTACCCTGCAAAACTATCTTTGCAGATCAATGGAGAAATAAGATACTTTCTGGACAAAGAACACCTGAGGAACTTCCTGAATACCAAACCAGCACTACAAAATATTTTAAACAATATCCTAGGAAAGACAATGAGGGTCACAACAGATAAGCCCAACAGAATGAATTCGTCAGGCAAAACAAGAAATTAAGTGAAAGGTGGGGGGAATGAAACAACAGGAAAAAGACTATGACAAGAATAAGTCAATACATATCAGTTATAACCATCAATGTTAATGGTCTCAATTCACCAAACAAAAGGAACAGACTGGCAGAATGAAACAAGAAACATGATCCAACAATATGCTGCACAAAAGAAACATGTAATTCAAAAAAGAAACACATAGACTGAAAGTTAAAGAATGGAAAAAAATAGTCCATATGATAGGAACCCGAAAAAGAGCAGGAGCAGCTATCCTATCTGCAGTCAAAATGGATTTCAAAACAAGACTAATTAAGAGAGACAAAAAAGGTCACAACATCCTTCTAAAAGGAACAATCCAAGAGGAAGAGATGACAAAGATAAATATATATACACTAAATATTAGTGCATCCAACTATATAAAACAGATATTACCAAGGCCACCATGCCACTGCTCGCAGGGCAGAGAAGGTGAGCCAATACCAGCGCTTCTGGGCCTCCCTACCATGTGGGTGCCAGCAACATGCCCCCGCTCCCCCAATGAAATGAGAAGACATGTAAACAAGTCTCAAAAACAGACTTTCAGATCACCTACAGCAACGCCAAAGAGAAACGAGATGGAACAATTTGATACTCAACAACCTAGACTCCCTGAACTGGCAACAAAACAGGATCTGGGAAAAATGAAATCTGAAATAATTTCTCAGGTGACAGCAGAGATTGTGCCCATAGTGCAAGACATGATTAATAAATCTAGAGAGGACACAGATAAAAAAATAGAGGAGCTGAGGAACATGAAAGAATCCCAACATAGAAAAAAATGGAATCCATAAAACAGATACAAACAGATTTCCAGGAGATTAAAAACTGCATTGAAAGTTTACACAGCAGAATGAACAAATGTGAGGACATAATTTCAGACATAGAAGATAAGATTCCAATTAGTGATTAGCAAAAGAAAAATTGCTTTAAACTTGTAAGGGAACATGAGAAATCAATCCAGCAGCTGCTAGACGATGCAAAGAAGAATAACATAAGACTGATTGGAGTCAATGAAGAAA